CCCCTCCCCAATGCAGACATCTCTTCCCAAGTCCCTATGTCGCCTGCTCCTGTCCCCCCGCCCTGAGTGTCACACGAATAAAGAGCGACACTGAACTAGCTCAGCATCCCTGTCTCTGTGTCCTTCCAACGCGCCTGCCACCCCCCGCGCCAGCCAGCATTGCTCCAGTGGCACCAATATGGAGGAGGGTGGGATGGGAACATGCACACGCATGCACACACCTGCACACACGTATCTGGGGCTCCCTCCAGCACTTGCTCACCCCCGGAGACCCCACTGAACCCCATGCCAGGGGTGAGCCCTTGACCTTAGCTGTGCCGTCCTTGTCCCTCACTCATTGGCCTCAAGGTGCCGGGTCCCTTGCAGGGACACGTGGCTTGTGGCAGGGCTGCACCAGCCCTGTCCCCATTTCCACAACCTCCCCCGTGTCCCCTGGGACAGGGATGCCAATATAGCCATCAGTCATACACAAGCACCAGTCTGTCCTTTGCACCCAGTGTCACAGCAGCCTGGCCCCCAGTTTGCCACATGCCCCGTCCCTGTCCCAGCCCTGGGGAGGGTTCTCTGCAGCCCTGTACACAGCCACAGCTGTGCTGAGAGTGCCTGTGCTCAGCTGCCATCACCCCATCAGAGCTGCCAGGAGCCACTCCAGGGACAGGGACAGAAGCACCTGGCCACACTGTGTGCAGGCCTAGGGGAGATGCCACCCTTCTCAGCTGTTTGACACAGAATCACAGGATGGTTTGGGTTGGAAGGGACATTTAAAGGCCATCTGGTGCAATCCCCTGCAATGAGCAGGGACACCTGCAACTACATCAGGGTGCTCATAGCCCTGTCCAACCTGACCCTGAATGTTTCCAGTGCTGGGGCATCTATCACCTCTGTGGGCAACCTGTGCCAGTGTTTCACCACCCTCGTTGTAAAAAAACATTTCTTTCTCATATGTACTCTGAATCTACCCTCTTCTAGTTTAAAACTGTTACCCCTTGTTCTATCGCTACAGGCCCTACTAAAAAGTCTATCTCCGTCTTTCTCATAAGCCCCCTTTAAATACTGAAAGGCTGCAATAAGGTGTTCTCAGAGCCTTCTCTTCTCTGGGCTGAACAACCTTAACTCTCTCGGCCTTTCCACCTTTCTGACCATTTTTGTGGCCTCCTCTGGACCCGCTCCAACAGGCCGCTGTCTGTCCTGTGCTGAGGTTCCCAGAGCTGAACACAGTGGGGTGGGGGTCTCACCAGAGCAGAGGGGCTGAATCCCCTCCCTCGCCCTGCTGGCCATGCTGCTTGTGCTGCAGCACAGGACATGGTTGGCCTTCTGGGCTGCAAGCATTCATTGCCAGCCCATGTTCAACTTTTCATCCACCAGTACCCCCAGGTTCTTCTCTGCAGGGCTGCTCCCAATTCCTTCACCCCCCTCCTATATTGGTCCTGGGGCCCAGGAGGAATGAGCGGACCCCCAGCCGTTCAGCAACCACTTGAGAATTTCTCAGGAAATTAAGCCAAAACAAAACCAAAAATCTTCTGCCAAACTCAAACTTTATGAGACAAGACCTGAGAGGCAGTTTCTGCTCTCTGCAATATTCCTTGTCCTTCAAAATGTCTAAGGGAGTGGAGCCTCCCAGAGAACGAGCACTGGGGCAGCAACTCCAAACTTACCAGGAAAGCAAATGCCTTTGTGTGGAATTCAGTTTCTTTCATCCATCTCTTGCTTACATGGAAATGCCAGGGTGGGCAGTGTTGGCCTGGGCCCTGTTCTGGGGCTGCTGGGGTTTTCCCATCTGCACCAAGCATTTTGTTCTTGCCAGGGGACAGCTCAGGCCTTCCCCAGGCACCCGAAGCAGCTCCAGGGATGTGTGCCAGCCCTTCAGGGACATGTGCCAGTGTGCAGTGCTGGCAGGGCAGATGGGAGAGGCAGGGAGGGGAGATGTGAGTCCTATCTGCCCCTGTTCTCCTTCCCCCCTGCTATTTGGCAAGGAGGTGGCAGCAGGACTTGGACTCCACCAGAGGTGCCAAGGGGCACCTCATGCTCCAAAACAACTTTGTTGGCTTCGTTCTGGCTTTATTCTGGCTTCATCCTGCTCTCCAGCTGGGCAAGGGAGACCCTGCCACAGCATAGCCCCATGTATGGGGCAAACCCCTTTCCCATTGTCCTGCATGGGGTACTGGGCCAATGGAGGCAGACCCAGTGTCCCTGCCCACATGTGGGGTGAGAGGCTCAGGGTTTTCCTAGGGAAACACCATCCCCATGGAGCAAACCCATACCCAGGCTGGACCACTGCCCCCTGGGTTGCCACTGGCCCTGGGAAGGAGCCAGCAGTGGGACGGATGCTCAGCCTGTGGCACAGCAGGGGAAGGAGGGTCAGGCAATGGAGGCATCCATCCTGCTGTGGTTCAAGATGAGCTCTTTTCAGACACAGCTCAGGCAGAGAGGGCCCGCAATGGCAGAGAGATGGCAGAGTTGGTCCTGGGGGGCTGCTGGGCTGCAGCACCTCTGGTAGAGGGTTTGGGTCCCCATAGCACATCCAGATGCTCCCAGCCTGGCTTGTGCTGTGGGACACGGACTCAGAGACAGCACCAGCTCCTCTGCCTTGGCACTGAGCTCCTTTTCATGCTCAGGCAAGGTTATTCCCTTCCAAACCCTTGCCTTCAGCATCCTCATCCCCAGCCTCATGGTTCTGCTGGGGCTTTCACTAGTCAAAAATGCCCCAAGG